GGGACACCAAATGCTGCTGTGACCCCAGAACATAAACGCTCACAGACACACGCCTGCCCTTGTGTGGTTGGAGGCCCTGCCAGGCTTCCCCAAGGCTGCTGGACCCTCAAATCCCTGGCGAAGCAGAAAGGTTGGCGCTGAATTGGAGCCTGTGGCTCATCAGCAAGTGGCTAACCTGGCTGAGCCGCAGGTTCCCTGCCTGTGAAATGGGTATGACAACCCCTCTCATGGTTGCCACAAAGACAAAGAGATGGAGACGCCACCCAGGGCCCCTGAGTAGGACACAGTGGGGCATGTGAAAGAAAGAGAGGGAGGCTTCATAGTCTTGCATGTAGAAGGTTGTGTTTCTCCTTTGGGGGTGACAGTGGGTGAGTTCCTATCTGCGACTGGGGTTTTTCTGCTCTATTTCCTCATGGGGAGGGAGGATTCTGGTGCTTAGTGGCTGAAGGCATTTCCCGTGGTGTGCCGCCTCTGCTGACCTCAGTGGTGTGATCATAACACTTTGAGAAACTGCTCAGAGTCAGGTGTGGCCTGCCACAACTCTTGGATTTACTGCTCAGGAAGATGGACGTACCACGGCTAATTGTAGGCCTCCCTGTCCTGTCCATAGCACCTCTGCAGGCGGCTGTTTGCAAGCCGAGGGTGTGGGTGACGGTGTTTTATGCTCAATAACTGAAGTGGGGCAGCTCCAGCCATTTGGATCAGCAAGGATCAGGGAGCATTGTATTCGCCACCTGCTTGGCCCACTGTTACCCAGTTCCCTCAAAACACAGGCCCTTGGCGGGAGCTGCACCCAGCCCATTTAGGAAAGGCTGTGGCAATCAAACTCTCCTGCCCTGGATAATACTTTCCACTGGGAAATATTTGGTGGTGGGTCAGGGGCAAGGAGGCTTCAGCAGCCCAACTCCACCACAGCTGTGACGTGTGTCCCCCTGAGATGTTGGAGGAAGGACATCACTGTGGGGTGGGGCTGATAGGTCAGTACACAGGGCCATTTGAGCACGTGGCTGCATGCAGTGTAGACAGAGGCAGCTCGTGAGCCTCAGATGGCTCAAATGTAGTGTCTTCAAGGACAGGAGTGGTTGGAGTGGTGCCAGGTTCCGTTCCTGTGTTTCTGGAACTCCCACGGACAAGGCAAAGGAACCATGACACATTCTCAAAGCGGGGCTCCCTTGTGGTGATTCACCAAAATGAATGGATAGCCAGGAGGCCACGTGAATTTAGAAACCTCCCAGGTTACTACCTCTTAGATCCTTGCTCTTTACCAAATTAGTATCATCTTTGCTGAACTTGCACATGAGGGAATTTTAAACACTTTTTCGCAGGGCATCTCAAAGTGTGGCCCCAGACCAGCATCCATTTCACCTGGGGACCCGGTAGAGATGCAGATTCTCAGGCCGTGCCCCACACCTACTAAGATGGGGACTCTGGGGCTGGCACCCAGTCTTCTGGAAGACTTAGTTTTAAGTACCACTGCATTAGCCCACCAAAGTCCTGGTATAAAGAAGCCCAGGTAGTTTACTGCCTCTCCAACTTCCGTGGCTGTGAGACCCTCTTATGGCATGACATCTGTTTGCCCTCCTGTGAATAAGGCCTGGGAGATGGGAATGAACTTGGCCTTGGAGTCCATTCCCACTTCTGAGGCCAAGCAGCCTGGGGGTGGGGGAGAAGCGAAAGCTCTTCACAGCAGTAGGGGGTTGTGAGCTCTGTACTGGATACTAGTGTCAAGTCCAGTCCTTGAGCAGAGAGCAGTGCCCGCTAAGCTGTAGCTGCCAACACAATCACCACTGGGGTGAGGATGGTCAGGTGCTACCAGTCTAGTTCCAGGATGTTTCATATGGCTTCTTTTTTGACTTTCATATTTCCTCCTGCCCCTGCCCCATAAATCTCTGGTTTGGGGATGTCAGATTGTCTTCCAATTTCCTCTGCATACCCTCACCCTCAAGTTGAATGCCCTGACCACTTATTGCAAAACTCATTGCCCTGCACCAGAGGAACTGGGATCATGCTTCTTTCCTGTTCTTCAGGGCAGTGGTTGTGGCTCAGTGATAGAGCGCTCATCTAGCATGTGTGGGGCACTGGGTTTGATCCTCAGCACCACAAAAATAATAAACAAGTAAGATAAAGGTATTGTGTCCACCTACAACTAAAAAAATAATAAAAACACACACAGTCGTCTTCTTCCTATTTTTTTTTTCTGAAGCTAATAACAAGTAAAGTGCTAAAACTCAACATCATGCCCATGCTGGAAATAGTGGGGATTTGGAAAAGGGTCTCATTGTCTCTGATCCTCAGATTCCTGCCCTCTCTGATGATTCTGGTGAAATCACCCTAGCAGGCAACTGTGAGAATTAAAGACAGACTGGACTTGTGAGCCTGGGATTTGGCATGGACCAGATGCTCAATCAATGTGGAACTGGAATCATACCACCTTTTAGGCAAAATGGCCATGCAAATTGTGGCCATCTGTCAGGACTCAATTGAATTCAAACACTGATTTTGTTCATCTGAGGAGGAGCACATGTTTTTCTGAGCATCTACTATCTATATCTATGACACCTACTGCAGATACAGAGATGAACAAGACCTCAGTATCTTGAGGGGGTGACAGACATCAGCCCCCTAATCACATAATTGGGTGTTGAGTTCACATTGTGGTTAGGACAAGAAAGGAGAAGTCTATCTTTTATAGACAGCCCAGCCCAGCCCAGGCCAACTAATAACTGCTTCCTTTGGATTCCCTGCTTTTTCTCTTTTTGGTACTAGGGATTGAACCCAGGAGCACTTTACCATTGAACCACATCCCCAGCCCTTTTTCTTTTTCATTTTGAGACAGAGTCTCCCTAAGTTGCTGAGGCTGGCCTCCAACTTGTGATCCTCCTGCCTCAGCCTCCGGAGTCACTGGAATAATAATCATGAACCACTGCACCTGGCAATTCCCTGCTTATTTTTCTAACTGTGGATCTGACATTCATTGTCTAGCAGTGTTATTTAAGCAATTCTGAAGTATCACACGTATTTTCTAACGTTAACTGTAGGCAAGGACTCGGAATCCCAGGCCACCTTTGCCCCAGTTCTACGCTGAACAAATGAGGGAGCTCACGCGATGGTAAGATCTGCTCTCAGATCAGCCTTTCTCTCCTGGGAATGGCAACTTGGAAGAGTCATGACAGCCTCAAAAAAGTTTCCTTCCCACATGGAATTCTCCGGAATTTATGCCTTAAGAACAGACAGCTATTCCGAGGGTGGACAGAGGGCAGAACTGGGGTGGGATGGGGAAAGACCAGTTTACAAAATGTGGTAACTGGAGCTAATTTTTTCTTAAAGGGCTTAGAACCTATGTTTCTCTTGAGAAATGGGTCTTTAAATATCATGGCCAAATCTGTAGTGGAAGAGACAAATTTTGTTCTTTCATCTTAGAATTCTTGGCTACAGCATTCTGAGGCCACAGTTCTTGGATGGCAATCCTAGATCCTGCTAAGGACACAGAGGCTGGAGATGGAAGGCGCTCAGGGAAGACAGTGCCCTGCTTTCTCTGGTTCTAGCAATGGCATCATCTGGGTAGACATTTTGTTGGCTCACGGCTGTCAGTCTGTTCCCAGGGAAAAAGGTGATGAGGACCCTGTGAGTTGGAACTATTATCTCAAATAGGGAAGGATGAGGCCACAAGGCTGATGGGTGGAAAGAACTAAAAAGATGTGAGGGGCACTAGGGGCTGGACATGAAATGAATGTCCATTAGCCCCATGTGGTCTCAGCTTGTCCTTTTGCCTCAGTTTCAGACAAATCAGGCTGGACGCACTTGTGGTGCATGCCTGTAGTCCCAGGGTTTGGGAGACTGAGGCAGGGGGATTGCAAGTTCAAAGCCAGCCTCAGCAAAAGTGAGGCACTAAGCAACTCAGTGAGACCCTGTCTCTCAATAAAATACAAAAAAGGGCTGAGATGCTGCTCAGTGGCCAAGTGCCCCTGAGTTCAACCCCAGTACTCCATGCCCCGTAAAATACAGACAAATCTATGAGGTTTTCATCTCCTGAACACTGGGTTCTCCAAACATCTCCCAGTGCCTCACTTCCCAGTAGCACTTCTGCTCCTTGCTCTTAGAGAACACTTTCTAAAACAGAACTGGGCTCGTGTGCACTCTCTGACTGAAAATCTGCCTGTGACCCTTATGATCCATGGGTTTCTCCAACATGGGGACAGTGTCCTCTGTTCGTCTGTCTGACTCCCTGGGGCTTGGCAGATAATACAGGCTAACCAGAATTTGATTGACAGATAAATGGACAGCATGACTCCCCAGGAAGTTCCTACTTACTGACCTCCCCAGCCTCACGTCCCCCGTTCCCCTTGCACGCCATGCTGTGTCACATGAGAACAGGAGACTGCTTTTAATCCTCTGACTCATCTCTTGAACTGATGATTTTTTTTTTCACGTTAACCTCCTTAAGGGGGCACACATTGTCCCCTCAAAACCTCAAGACTTGGGTGGCTCCAAGCCTTCTCCAAGTTATTCTCTCTCTCTCTTTTTTTTTAAATACCAGGAATTGAACCCAGGGCGCTTTACCATGGAGCCACATCCCCAGCCCTTTTTTGTATATTATTTAGAGACAGGGGCTCGCTGAGTTGCTTAGGTCCTCGCTAAGTTGCTGAGGCTGGCTTTGAACTCGCGACCCTCCTGCCTCGGCCTCCTGAGCCGTTGGGATAACAGGCAAGTGCCACTGAGCCCAGCTGGCTCCCAGTTATTCTTCAACACCAGCTTGTGCCTCACCCCCAAAAACGGTTAGATGCCCTTTCTTTAAGCTGTGGCCGTCACCTTCCCCTGGACTGTGACCTTGTATTATTTCCCGTGGGACAGCACCTGGGTCAGAGTAGACGAGCACCAACTACCTGCTAAATGAATGAAGGTACAAATGGTTGCATGAACAGTGTGGCACGAGGGGGCCCTGGCCCTGCAGCCCTGCGCCTTGGTCACTTCAGCCAGGCCAGAGACAAGGGGACACTCACGTATTCCACCTCCTTGGATGGGTCGCCCAGGCTGCCGTTGGTGGTGGGCGCGGCCTCTGTGCCCTCTGGCTTTTCCTGTTGCTTCCCCTCCTCCTTGGGCAAGCCGCCCTGGCCCGGGAGGGCCACTTCTCCCACACCCAGGGCCTCGCTCTTATACTGCTTGACAAATTCTTCCATCACTTTCAGCTCATTCTCCAAGAGTCCACGGCAGCGAGAGGGGTCCTGGTCGTAGATGGGGAGCTGGTGCATGAGCTGGCGGCGGCGGTAGTAGGCACCCTCGGTGCCTGTCACCGGCTGCTTCTCCTTGGGGATGAGTTCCATATACTGTAGGCCCTGGGGGAGGGGGAGGAAGAGACAGTGTCACGTGGATGGGGCTCCAGCAGTCAGAGAAGCTATGTCAGAAGCCACCTAAAGTGCCAAACGCAGTGTCTTTCAGTGTTCTTGGTGACTAAGCATGCACAGTCTTTATGTTTTAATTTAATGTAGCTTTTTTTTTTTTTTTCAAATGACAAAAGCAATACCTACCTGTCTGTCATCAACAGTTAGGAAACAGATGAAAGAATCGTATAAGAAATGTGCATCTTCTAGCTTGTGTGTCTAAGAAATATTGTGCATCTTACTGCTGGTGACATGGAACTGTGGAAGCCTGTCTGCCTCAGAGTTCACCAAGTTGTAACTTTGGGACGCCTGCTTTTACTAAATGCACGATGGATTGAGAGTTAGCATTGATACCTGGGTGTGGTGACGCATGCCCCCAACCCCAGGGACTTGGGAGGCTGAAAGCCTGAGGATTGCCAGCCCCAGTAACTTGAAGCCTAAACAACTTATTGAGACCCTGTCTCAAAATAAGAAAATAAATAAATAAAAAGGGCTGGGGATGTGGCTCAGTGGTTAAGCACCCCTAGGTTCAATCCCTGGTACCTACAAAGAAAAGAAGGAAGGAAGAAAGGGCAGAAGGAAGGAAGGAAGAATGCAAGTCCTCTATCAGTAGATTTCGGTTTTCTGATGATTACAATAGACCATGTTCACACTATGGGAGACAGAACAGCTCATTTATTTATTTTGTGGTGGTGGGGATGGAACCCAGGACCTCACACAGGATAGGCAATCACTCCACCACTGAGTTATCAGTCTCAGGAGCTGTCTCGTGTGTAGAAAGTGTTCTAGGTCTTGCTCTTGGTGAGGGTGTGGTCATGTGAGAAAGAAAACCTCCTTTGCCTCTATCAATTTATGCTGTCTGCTCACTATCTAGCCACTTCTCCACTGCTCATAGTAACCAGTAGCATTTTATTATTTATTCCTCCCAAACTGGAGCTGTAGCTTTCATTTTTGGATGGCCCTGGGAAGAGAAAGGAATCTGTGTCTACTCCTTTATATTCTCATGAGAATGGTCAATAAAGACCATTTTGCTTTTGTTCTCTGACTTGCAAGCAATGGTAAGAATTATGATCACAACTTTTGTTCCTGTCTTCAAGTTGCTGCTTTAAAACCTGTTTTCTGGTATCACTGGATGGACAGTCGTCAACAGAGAAAACTCTGACAGTATAATAGTTACAGTCGTGCGTTAATAACCGATCTCATGTAATCCATACCCACCCAGGACTGTCTTGTCACTCATCCCACGATTGATGTCCTTGCCTCTGCTCCTACTGGTGCCTTTCATAGAGAAAGGAAAATCCTTCTTTCCTCTTGCCCCTTCTTATACTCAGTACCATAGGCTTTGGCCACTCCCTCTTCCTTAACCATTCCTGGTATGTTCAAGTTCACCCTCTAAGGGGACCGTCCACTCCCAAAGGCAGACAGTATCCTCTCTGTTTTAGTAGCAAGAGGGAAGATTCTAAAGATGGCCTGTCCTGAACCCAAATCCCAGTTCTAGGCATGCCTGCTGTGTGACTACAGCCACCTCACACCCTGTCTGTGCACAGGTTCCTCAATTGTAAAAATAAGGATCATAAAACCTAGGGTGGTTGAGGGGTTCGGTAACAGAGCATCTACACTTGGGTGCATTATTGATTTTCCCCTCCCTTTGCCTTCCTCTCTGTGTCTTTTTCTATCTTTTTAAAGTCTATCACTGCAGTCAGAGGTACCAGGGACACCCTTCAAATTGCTTTTTCTCAAGAGACACACAGTGTTTGGGAACCATGTGAAAAAGTAAATGCAGATTCCCCAGCCAAGGCCTCAGTTTAGTAGGAAAGCTGTGGGGTTCGGGAATTTGCATGTTGGAAAACGTCTTCTTTCAAAATGGAGATTCCCTAGGAAGGAGTGTGAATTCTATTAACAGCCAGCAAGGTTCTAAATGAGCTTTCATTCTGTCCCAGGCTGCAGCCACAGATTCGTGTTCTTAATGAGACTAGTACAATCTAAGTAGGGGGTTCATTTCGATTTGCTGGCTCTGCAGTATGGATCTTGTTTCTTTCAAAGAAGGATATTTTTTACTTCATTTACCTCAAGGGCAATGCTCCTAATTAAAGGGAATAAAAGGCAATCCAGTTTAAAATTGCTTTTCTTAGAAAAGTGTAATTAGATCATTATGGGCATAAGGTATTTCACGGTTTATTAATTTTAAAATATGCAGAGACACCTTCTCGGAGCAGAATCCACAACGTCTGAACTCAATAACACTTGCATATTGAAATGACTGGTATTTATCGGAATAATAAATATGTTAATGTGTTCACAGACAACTGTCTGATTTAGCTTTGGTGTGTGTGTGTGTGTGTGTGTGTGTGTGTGTGTGTGTGTGTTTTAAATCTTTCCCTTGATGAATCCCAGGGATGAGATGCTGCAGGGAAGATAAAGGTCTCAGGTCACAGTATGGGAAACCAGGAGGCAGAATATTTATCCTGGATGGTGCTTTCCCATTTCTGCACCTGGCCTTGAGTCTGACCCTCACCACCAGGTGGCCTGATTCCTGTCACACAGGTGAGAGCAGCCACATTGCTCCTCTGTGATCCTGCCTGCCCATATCTCATCACCTGGGGCTGGACTCATTTTGGAATCGGGGGAATCAACATGAAAATTCAACTAAAATCCATCAAGAACAGTCCCCGATGTTGCCTGATTTTAGAGCGCAGGGACAGTATAGTTTGGGTCTTCAGTGCCCTAGCATGGAGCTCTTGGGAGGTGGTGGAACCTTTAAGAGGCGGGGCCTAGTGGGAGGGGTTTAGGTAATTGGGGGCATGTCCTTGAAGGGGATTGTAGAAGGCTTGCCTCCTCCTTACTCTTTTGTGCCTCCTGGCCCAGGTGAGTTGAGTGGTTTTGTTTGCCAAGTTCTACCATGATGTCCTGCCCAAAGCGATCATGGACTAGAACCTCCAAAATCATGAGCCCAACAACCTTTTTGCCTGTATAAATTAATTATCTCAAGTGTCTGTTACAGTAACAGCAAGCTGACCAATACAAAGGGGGAAAGAATCTGGGAGTGAGGCAGGTATGAGTCCAGAGCCTGGCACTTGCCAGATTTCCTAATGAATGAATTCTGGAGAGGAACATTCTTAGAAGCAGAGAGGCAGGTGCTCTGGGTCTCTGTGGGAATCAGATGGAGGGTTGCTCACTCTTAGCCCTGAGGGCTCACAGTATACCAGTTAATCAGTCCCAAGAGCATCTGTGTACTCCCAATTACTTTTCCAGGACACAGGAGACAACGAGGGCAGGGGACAAAGCCCTGAGGTGGGGGTGAGGGTGTCATTAACTCTGAGTTCATGTCAAGTCCTTCTGCTTTTCTCTGTGTCAAACTGAGTAAGTATCTAATCCTCTGGGCCTTAATTTCCCCATCTGCCAAGTTCAGGGTAAACTGCCTGATCATTAGAGTTCTGAGCACTGTAAGAAGCCAGTGGCCTTTTCTCTGGATCTATCACAACAAAGAACAGCAACACTGCTGACTCAAATCCACAGCCTAGGGAAGGATCCAGTGGTAGATCATAATCTGTTTCAGGCACTTCCCAAGTGCTTTACATATGTTAACCCATTTAATTCTCAGGACAACCTTGGAGGAAGAGCTATTGCTACTCCTTGGGAAACTGGAGCTCAGAAAGGGTATGTAACCTTCCCAAAGCCACACAGCTAATATGTGACAGAGACAGTCTTGAAATCAGCAGCTTGGGTCTCATGCCCTTCTCTGCTATGCCACCTGGGCCAGGATTGTCAATTTCCTGAATGTGTCTGTTTTCCTGACCTTTAAGGATACACACCCCACCAGGCTCAGCTTTATAAATAGACTGTGTTAGGAAGCCTGGAGCAGTGGCCCAGACAGCCAAACCATTTCTTGAATGTTGTACTCACAGTGTCTATTCACAGCTCTGCGCTGGCCCTGGGTGTCTGTAGCTGCAGATGGGTTCCTGGCTGGGGCCCGAAGAAAGGGAGGTTTCCTTCTCAGGGCCCAGTGTTCCTGGTGCAGCTCAAACCCCCAGCTGAGAGGGCTGGCTGTTTGTCTTTGCCTTGTCAAGGTCACGCATCTAACTGCCACTGGCCCTGCCTGGCTGGTCTGAGACTCCTACCCTCAGTACCATTCACACCCATGCAGACATTGCTAAGGGATCCTAGCTGAGGATCTCAGGGTCTCCCTCCATACATCCCTTCAGGCAGTTACTGATTGGCATGGACTTGGGAAGGGGATGTTAGGGACAGAGCTTTGGGTCCCAGTAGCTGCCTGATGCTGCTCTGACACTGTAAGAGGATCTCTAGGAAGCTGACCTCATGGGCCCAAAATCTTTAGCAAGAGGTGTTTTCTCAGACCAGTCAGAAAGATTGCTTCAAGTTTAAATTTTTCCCAGGGACATGTGGTATCTGGTCCTCTGCAATCTGGTTGGGACATTTAGGGTGGAGAGTTGTCCAGAATCTCTCTGTGTAAGGGGACATATCAAAATGCAAAGAGGAAAGTGACAAGGGGCCCGATATTTCAGTTTGGGCAGTAGGTCACATCAGTCCTGGGTCTGGGTGTTCTGCCTGATTCTCCTGTTGTCAGCTAATGATGGTCACTGGTTTCATGGCACATGTCAACCCCAGTCAATTCTGGCTACCTGGAACTCTGGTGTTAAGAAGGATCCCGAGGCTAGGTAGGACTCACTGGGGACCATGCTCTCAATGGCCACGAATGTCTGCCACGGGTATGGGAGTAGAGGCGTGAAATCAGTGCCACCCTGACGTCGGCTCCTCACGAGCCTCTGTTTGCTCCTCTGTGAAATGGGTCTATAGCATCATACTCAGCACAGGGGGACTGGTGGTTGGTCATGAGGTACATTTGCCAAATGTTCAGTAGAGGCTGGCTACCTTCACCTTCTCCCTCTTGCCTCTCCCCAAATCCTGTGAGCTTGTCAGACCCTCTCAAGTTCCTTTCTTTTCTTGAAAACCTTCCCTAAAAATGCTCACCCAGGGACTTGCTCCTTCCTGCCTCACCCCTCACCTGTGAGCTCTCCTCATGGTCCAATGAGGAAGCACCTGAGTTTGGGAGGCAGGGAGGCTGGAGCTCAAGGGCTGACTGTGTCATTTAAATCATGGGTGGGGCATTTGACTAGTTATCTCCTGAGCCTCTGTTACCACCTCATAGATGAGGGTCATGGCAGTACCTTCTACCAGAGCTGGGAAATTAGATGAGGTGGTATGCAGAAGGCTCTTAGCACAGAAACTGGCACAAAGTAAATCCTCAATAAACAAGAGCAGTTAGGCTTATTGTTTCCAGCTTCTGAGGCTGATGGATTTCTCTGGCCTGCCGTCTGGTTGGGAGGGCCGACAGACAGCAAGGTTCTGTTCCATTTCCAAAATATAATCTGTCCCCATCACTTGGTAATTAGGGGGGGAAAAAAAAGTTGGAAGACGCATCAGGAAGGGAGAATTGGCCAGTTTCAGACATGTGCCTTGCCCCGGCAGAGCAGAGGCCCGGCACACAGAGGGGCTCTTTATAGCCGTGTGGTTTTATGAGCTGGCATTAATCACCACCTCAACACGCCTCGCCCTGATTACACTGGGGCCGAGGTGTTCGGGGTTTTCACCAGCCAGTTCCTGACACCTACAGCCAGCTCTTTTATGAGCTGCTTGCTTAGTTTCCACTGACATGTTGGAGAGCCACTTGATACCTCACCTAGACCGGGAGCAGGAGTGGGCCCATGTTCCGAACCACCTGGCCTGGCCTGCTTCTGCTATTGCTCCAATGCCACCCTCTGGGTTTGGGGATCAGCCCCTGCTGAAGCCCCACAGACTTGCAAAGGCCAATGATCTATTCTTTGCTTCCTCACATGTAGGACAATTCCCACCTTGCAGGGGGGTGAACGGTGAGCTCATGAATGCTTAAGCATTCTTTTAAATCATGCTTTTCAAAGAGTGCAGTTAAAAAAAGAAAAAAAGCAGGGGCTGGGGTTGTGGCCCACTGGTAGAGCGCTTGCCTAGCATGTGTGAGGCACTGGGTTCAGTCCCCGGCACCACATAAGAATAAACAAAATAAAGGTATTGTGTCCATCTACAAATAAAAAAATATTAAAAGAAAAAAAAAACAACTTAGCTTCTCTTCACTCTAGGAAGACTCCTCCACCCTCCCCTGAGGGACAGAATTGTGCTTTTCAAACTCCTTTCGGTGAAGGATCATGGCGTGTTTGGTTTTTCTGCTCACTGTAGGATGATGTGTGGTCTCACTGCTTGTGATTAGAATGTGGCTCCTGCTGCATGAGGCCCCATGGGGGTCACTGAGATGAGTTTTCCTGTGATCACTTGGATGTCAAGATGCTTTCAACACTTTCCACCATTTATTCTTAACTTCTGTACTGTTTTCATTGTGAACCCATCCTAAGGGGCTTTGGGAAATGGTTCTGGTCTATAGACCACACTTGGAGTATCTCTGGCTGGAGGGTGACCTTCCAACAATACACCTACCACGTACCCTGCTGCTGAGGTTTACACCTTGAATGTCACCCAAAGACCTATATTAAAGGCTTCATCCCCAGAATCATGCTCTCGGGACTCATGGACCTTTAAGAGGAGGAGCCTATTGGGAGGTCTTTAGGTAACTGGGGACATGCCTTGGAAGGGACTATGGGATCCTGGTCTCTCTTCTCTCTCTCTCTCTTTTCTCTCTGGATCATGAGGTGAGTGGTCTTGCGCTACCACACTGTCACCATGATCTGCAGGCTCCAAATCAACAAGGTCAATCAGTCAGGGACTCAAATCTGCAAAACTGTGAGCCAAAATTTAACCTTTTCTCTCTGTAACGTGATCATCTCAGGTATTTTGTTGTAGTGATGGAAAGCTGGCTAATACACCTGTACTGTGTTAGGTGTGGGCATAGCCTAGTGTAACAGGATGCATGCCTTCAGGCACTTTGCCTTACTCCAGGGTAGAGAAGAGAGGCTAAACGAAGCACTGAGGGATGCACAAGATCATTACAGCTTACAATATAAGCTTCTAAGGAAGTTGGCCCTGAGAATGGGCCACATCCACTGTAAATCGGGCATTTAGGGAAGGCCTGCTTGACCCTTGCTTGACTTGGGAAGAACTTGGCCATTCAAAGACCAGGGAAAGGACTTTTCAAGCAGAGGGAAAAGCAAGTGAGAAAAATAAGTTCTAGAACTGGAGAGAGGAAGTCACTGTGGAGGAGCCATGGAAGAAGCAGGCAGGGATAGAACATGCAGGACTTCAAAGCCTCTTCTTTTCCTCCCAGAAAGATTTAAGAAAATGCCAGACTCTCACATCTCTCAAATTGTTGAGTCTTTTTTTTTTTTTTTTTTAAGTACCAAGAATTGAACCCATGGGCACTTACCCACTAAGCCACATCCCCAGCCCTTTTTATTTTTTTATTTTGAGACAGGGTCTCACTAAGTTGCTGAGGCTGGCTTTGAACTTGCAATCCTGCCTCAGTTTCCTGAGCCCCTGGAATCACAGCCGTGCACCACCCCACCCAGCCTAGTGAACATTTTTGAATCTCATTCCTTTGTAGAAATCATCTAGCCTCTTGCTGTTCCCAGAGAGGTCTGGGGACCAGCAGCCTCAGCATCACCTGGGAGTTTGTCAGGACTGCAGAATCTCAGGAGGGGACCTGAACCTATTGGATGTATTTTCATGAGCTCCCCAGATGATGTATGTGGATGCGGACACTTGAGAAGCACCACTTGGGTGCTCTGGTTCTTGAAGGGGACTACGGGTTGAGTCCCCCGGAGAGTCATTTCCTAAGCTCCCACCTGATGACGACTTCTTGCTTGTGGAGGGCATATCTCAGGCCACAGTGCTGTGAACACCTCACAGATAGAGATAAGCACTCAGAGAATTTTTAGATTTCCTGTTCAGAAGTAAAGAGCCCCAAATGGGACAATGAGTGCCCCTGGGTTACAGCTGGAAGGCCCTTCAGAGTTCATACGGATGCCTCTACCTATTACACGGATGAGGAAAACTGAGGCCCAGACAGCCTTGACTTCAACATGACATGGCGTAGGAACAGAGTCGAAGCCAAAGCTGGTCCTACCATTTGGCCACCTTGCCCTCTTGCCCCCTCATCTTTGAAATTCAGGAACCCTCAACACAGCTCCTATTTACAAGGGCAGGACAACCACCATTTGATTGGAAACAGCTGTCTTACCAGTTTCTGGGTGACTCCAGGGGGAGCCCACTCATAGGTGATGGTATCAAAAGTGGGATCTTTCCCGGTGGCGATGGGGTTGGTCATGATCATCCGGTTCCTCTTGTAAATCCGGATGCCGTCCCCGCCTTTCACCCGGGCGGTGAGGGTGGAGTACTTGGAGTCCATCAGCAGGCGGCCGATTTTCCGATCGTCTTCCAGGTCGGAGCTTAGGCAGTGGTCCTCCTGACTGCATTTGCACGACTTGCATATTTTCCTGGGGAGTGGGGACAAGTGACATCAACCTCTGGGAAAGAGAAGCAGAGTCTCCCCCTGGCACAGCATCTACCCTTTTGAAAGCAAGCGCCAAGCTTAACAGTAGTACCTGGAAAAGGCTAGCAGCAGAGAAGCCGTAACCTGAGACAAAAAGGCCTTTGGGACTTGGATTTGTGTTTGGGAAACACCCCTCTGTCAGTCTGTTTGTGGGATCGTGGGGTGTGAATGTTGTGAAGCTTTGCAGTCCAAATTTGCTGGTAGAAAGAGTAGCACCTTTTCCTCCTGGTGGTTGCCATGGCAAAGGCTAATTCATTCATTTGAGATGCTGTAAGGCTGAAGTCTGTGCATTCCTGGTCCCGAATCTGGCCCACAACTTGCTTTGTATAAATACAGTTTTATTGGAATGCAGTTGTGATCATTCACTTGCATGTGACCTGAGGCTGATTTGGGGTTGGAATGGTAGACTCGAGTAGTTACAATAGTGATCACGTGGCCCCCAAAGCCTAAAATATTTACTATCTGAACCTTTATAAGAAAGTTTCTTAACCCCTCCTCTGGGGCTGTATCTCAGTGGCTTGCCTAGCCCATGTGAGGTACTGTGTTGTATCCTTAGCACCACATTAAAAAAAAAAATGAAAACAAATAAAGACATGCTATCCATCTACAACTATAAAAAAATTTTTCTTTTGAAAATGGTCTCCTATTATTCATGAGCCCCAGACCTCCAGCAACTTTCAAACTCTTCAGCACACACACTGAAGTGAGACTCCAATGGAAATTTTCTTTAAGAAATGTGATGAAAGCCAGGTACGGTGGCTGATATCCGTAATCCCAGTGGCTTGGGAGGCTGAGGCAGGAGACCCTCAAGTTGGAGGCTAGATTCAGCTTCGAATTTACTGAAACCCTAAGCAACCTAGCAAGACGCTATCTCAGAATAAAAAATAAAAAGGGCTGGGGTTGTGACCCAATGGTAAAGCACCCCTGGGTTCAGTGTTTAGTATCAAAACAACCAACCAACGTGTGCAAAGGAGGCTAACGGAGAGATGAGCTGAGAGACTCCCCCAGTTGGGAGACTGATGTTCTATTCACTGGGAGGACTTTGGCAGGAGTCTGGGAGAAGAAAAGGCATCTTGGGGAAGGTTCAAATTGCCTTGAAAGTCTGATGCTTCTTTCTGACAATGAAAGAGTGGCTGCTTTGTGTCACGGTATAAAGGTTGAGAAATCCAGAGTTGCATAGTGTGAGGGCAAAGGTGCTCCCCTTCAATGTGCTGTGTCTCAGATGTTCTGATTTAAAAAAAAAAAAAGCATGAGATTTAACAGCTTGTTAAGCAAAGCGAGCAATGTCAAGACCAGCTGTGGGAGCTTTGCTGCAGTTGGGTCACAGCAAACCAGCCCCTGGGGCTCTCCTTTTTTATACCCAGCAAATTAATACGTTTGGTCATATATCACAAATTCCAATTGTGGGGCTGATGGAGGCTTGCTTGCTTGCTTGGATGGTCCACATCAGTAGTTCCCCAACCAAGATCAGTTCTGTTCCCCAGGGGCCATGTAGCCATGGCTGGAGACATTTGTGACCGTCATAATGAGGAACAAAGGGTGCTATTTTCATCTAGCAGGCAGGAGCCCTAGATGCTGCAAAACCTCCTACAGTACGTAGCATGATCTCCAACGACAAGGAATTATCAGGCTTAAATTGGCAATAGGGCTAGGGTTGGGAAGGCTTTATTTAATTGCAATCTTTAAGGAGTTTGAGGACAGAAAGGAAGAGAAAAGTATATGGAAAAAACTGAAAGTAGGATGGGGTTGGGCTATGACCGAGTTGCATGAGACCTGGGATAGTTTTGCTGGCCCCAGCCAGCTCTCCCGGGTGTGACTGGGTTGCACCTGGATAAGGGCTCAGTGCTAGGTGGTTATGAGCTTGGAGAAGTGTGGGTTAGAGAAGGTCAAACATCTTTCTTTGTGAAAGGCTACTGCTCCCTGTCTTTAATATACCACTATGCAGGGTGGCATTTTTGATGCTGTTTGAGAAGCTTGCAGCCCAAGTTCACATTCAGCAGGCTGCAATGTGAGAAATGCTAAAACCATCCATTTCAAGGCTTCCTTCCAGCAGTACAAAAGGGAAATGACCCTAAGGGTGCTGCACGACAAACAAGACAAGTCTTTCCTTTTGGGTCTCTTAAGAAGGGTTTGCTTGTTGTACAGAATAGGGAATGTTGGTTTGTTTTTTGTTTTTTTTTTCTTTTTGTATGTTTGGTTGGTTTTTTTGGTACTGAGGATTTAAGCCAGAGGTACTTTACCACTGAGCCACATCCCCAATCCTTTTTATTTTGAGACAGGGTCTCACTAAGTTGTTTAGGGCCTCGCTAAGTTGCTGAAGCTGGCCTTGAACTTGGGATCCTCCTGCTTCAGCCTCCCGAGCCACTGGGATTACAGGTGTGTGTGACCATTTCCAGCAGGGAAATTTTATTCATGATCCATATTATACTCTTCCCTCTCCCTTGGAGGAGCTGGGCAGAGACTAATTCTCTAAGAGTGCAGGTGATGGCTAGCACTAGAGCTTTACATGTGACAGTGAAAGCAACGGAATTGGGAGGGATAGGAGGAAGAAAAAGGGGGTAAAGGAAAGCCCAGGGTGGAGGGACATGGAGAAGCCTGGATACCAAGTCCTCCATGTCCTCTGTGACCCTCTTTTCCTCCCCACATCTTCCCTCCATGAAACTGGAAGAGGAAACTGCCCTTTGCTGTTTTGGTTAAGGTATAATACCAAGATGCAAAACTGTTTCAAGTGGAAAATGTTAACAAATCTGAGACATTCTTTGAGACTGTGTCCACCTTATTTCTCCTTTTCCTCATGCTCTTCACGTTACCAGGCAGGTTGCTGGGATTTTATCGATGAGACACTCCTCCCACCCCCACTCTTGGTCTTTGCAGCCACCCAGACTGTAAGGGACACAGACACATCCCCAAAGAACCTCGGTAGCGTTCGAATTCTGCAATTTTCACTCACCACCTGGCATTGAATCCATCCTGTGATGACCATCCAAGAGGCTTCCCTTCTAACCAGGCTGACTGCAACCTGAGCTATTGAAATGTCTTTCAGATAACTGACAACATGAAAATGTTTGACAGCGTCTCCCAATTAAGGTTGTATGATATCACTACTTCAATATGGGTGGAATTCAGGTGCCTACTAAGGTGGTAGCAACCAATAGACCATCTTGATATTCAGGACCCACAAGGTGCTATCCGTATGTTTCAAAGACAGATTCACTTGATGTCCGAATCGTTTCCAGGATAAAGAGGCCACAGATTTAAACAATAGACTTCTTCCAGCCATGAGGAACAGAGTCAAGAACTATTCTCCTTGCATAAACCATTGGAAGAGCCGATGAAATGCATTAAAAGACTGTTTTTAGATGGTAGGTAACAGGCCGCTCAGGACGAATCCCTGAGATGAGGGAAGGCAGGATTCAATTCACTTTCTGGCTGTAATTTGGGGAACATTCTCCATCTATTCCAAGAACTGTACAAAGAGACTTCCTAGCCTTCTTCACGGAGCTGAAAAGAACTGAACCTTGTCAGAGACCCTGAGGAAAGAAGCTTTGGTACCAGTAGTGTTGAAATGATATGTAAGCTGATTTTTTCTCAAGATCAGGAAGAGCCCAAATGGCCAAAATGGAAATGCAGGGCTCTGTCCCTCCTGGGATGTTTTAGTTGTAGGAGGAAATTTTTCAAGGAATGTGAGCCAGGATGAGATGACCTTGAAGATCTTTTCCATCAGAAGACCTAGAGGGCTCTCCAGGAATGCAATCCACAGATGGCCTCCTGGTTTGAAAGCTCCCAGTCCACCATATTGAAGACCTGAATTCAAATCCTGCCATTTAGTTCCTGTCTCCCCATCCCCCACCACAGGATCCTGATCTGCCAAATGGAGAGAATAACATCTGCCGCTCAGGGTTATTTCAACTGGGAAGATTTCACTCAGCTCATCTCAACAGCCTCTTTGAGGAAACACCTTGCAAATCCTCCACCCAGTGTCCAAGGTGACACAATGGCTTTGATCACAGAAGCTCCTTGCTTGCTCCAGTCTTTCAGAGAGCTTAGCCTCCCTCTCTCAGGGCTGCAGGCGGTCACACAGGCTGTGCCCTGCACAACTCCATCCCTATAGATTCTGAAATGAATACCACTGGGGCCTTCTGCAATATGGCAGCCTCACCCGTGTTGTCAAGAGTCTTTGGTGAAAAGAAAGAAAAAACTCTGCAAACCCAGCTGGATCCTGTGGGTCCTCCTGCACACATGTGAATACCAGGTCCTGGTTTTGAAGTTCTGTGGGCAGAATGGCTTTTAATTCCTGGAGGGGGGCACTCATAGACCCAAACTTACCAACCGGAATGATGGTGTAGTGGAGTCAGTGAGATTAATCCCCTCCACCAAGCCCCAGGGCAGGCAGCCCTACCCCCTAAGTCTTCCCTGGCCCCATCTTCCCAGATCAATCCTTGCTGGGCTGGGCTCAGTGGCCTCACCCCTTGAAACAGTTTAAGAAGCACTAAGCTCCCCCTTCAGATCTTTGTTCCCCAAGGCTTTTTTCTTGTTCCTGAATTGGGACGGGCAGGAGAGCCTTCCCTCCCCAGCCATCCCTCCCCAACAAACAGTGCACCCTAAGCCGTCCCAGCAGAGAACCACCAGAAAGGACAGCCAAGAAGTGAAGGCAGGCAGGGCCCCCCAACAAAATCTGTTACCTCCATGAATGGGGCTCGAAGCCTGAGCACATCCCCTTACATCTCAGACAAGTCACGCTTCGTGCTGCCTGCTGCTGGCCCAGGGACATCTGGAAAAGGAGAGAGAAAAGAGGGTGTGTTTTCCTCCCAGACATCTTGGACTGGGGATGCTTGACCTCTGAAAGTCTTGGCATGCCAGCAAAAGGACTGAACGGGGTGCAGAGGACACCAGATCAATAAGCCATCACTAACTGTTTACCAGGGAGAGGGAAGACCAGCTGGGAACGGGACCACAGGGCAGGCAAGTGTGAAGGGTGGGGCTCTTCCCAAGAAAATTGCAACTGGTGCTCATTCCCAGGCTCCGGGACAGTCCCCGAACACCAAGCCTGGCTGGAAAGGCTGTGCTGTGAGTGACCATCTGCTGCTCACCCACCCGCCCACTCCTTGATCCACTTGTCACCGGAATGACATCTTCCCACTCAGTGCCTCCTCTTCCCCATTTACTTCTGATTTATCAACAGAACTGATTAAACCAGAGCTACAGGCCTAAGTATACATGCTGCCAAATGTTTATGGCTTAGAGCAAACCTTAAGTATTTTGTTAACACACTGAAAAATCTCCTGAGCATTTACCATAAAAATCTCCTTTGGAAGGAGAACAATGCACACCACAGGTTTGATCAAAGTGCGTTTGGCTGCTGCTGCTGCTGCTGCTGCTAGGTTTGGACCTGAATGGGGATCTTAAACAAGCAGCCTCACCCAGGAGCTTGCTAAAAAATGGTAGACCTGCATGTGCTGCCCCATCTCCTTTGCATCACAAACTGTGTTTTAAACGACTTCCCAGATATTTTTGCATTTTAAAATTGGAGAAGTAATGGGTTAAGGTGTTACTGCCCTCTGAAAAAAGTTACCTAACTCTCCACAGGAGGGGAGGTCCTGCCATTTATTGAGCGTCTACTGTGTACCAGGTGCAGGAGATATAACATAAGTTTCAGGGGTGCCCTAGAGCAACTCACAGTCTAGGGGGAAGCGAAGAGGGAAACATACTTGTCACCTGGTTTTGGAAGCCCTGAGGAGGAGGAAGGGAGGCTTCTCCTCTTGCAAGCTACAGGCTTCAAAGTCTGAAATACCAGAATGCAAATCTAGCTTTTGGGTTGCATGTAGCTTATTGGTTGCATAGTATTGGAAAAACTGAGCCTCAGTTTCTTTACCTATCCAATGGGCATAGAGATAATATACATGAAATACCAGATCATATTAGGCACGAGAAATGGTAACCACTATTAGTTTGCACATAGACTTCAGAAGTGCAGAGAAAGGTGTCAATAAATCCATACAGGGAGGATCAGGGAGGCTTCTTGACGTGACTTTGGATTTGGTCTATGCAAATGAACAGGCAGAAGAGGAGACCAGAAGATGCCCAGCAGAGGGCAGAGAACAGCCAAGGGACAAACAGTAGCAAAAAGGTGCAGTGGGCAGGGTATGGCGATCTGAGCATGCTCTTTGCAACACTACTTTATTGGGTTTGCTTTGAAAGGGATAAAAAGCAAGCTGTGAAATTCATGAAGCCTTCCTCATGGTCAGTGCTAGAATCCAGAGAGAGATGTAAGAACTGTTACCCTTCACAGTACTTCTTTTCTGCACCCTAAGACTCCCCATGATAATGCCAATCTGGACACCCCTACTGGATACCTGCTGATTGTGCTATGTATCATGCTGCGCTCTTCTGTTGTGCACATTCAGGCTTTAGGGAGCAAGAGCCAGACTGCACGTGTTTGGAATGGAGTGTGTTCATGCTTGTCTCAATAATAGATCCACATTAAACATGAGAATTAATAACTAATAATTACAGGTGCACACCTGTAATCCTAGCAACTCTGGAGGCTGAGGCAGAAGGATCACAAGTTTGAGGCCAGCCTCAGCAATTTAGTGAGGCCCTGTCTCAAAATAAAAAATAAAAAGGGGCTGTGGATATGGCTCAGTGTAGAGTACTCCTGGAGTTCATCTCCAGTACAAACAAACAAACAAAAAAACAAAAACAAAAAACAATCCACTAACTCCTCATTGCCCTGAGTGGGGGAGCCTCCAGTCATAGGCAGAATTTTACTCCCTAAGGGCTGGGGTTGTGGCCCATGGTAGAGCACTTGCCTAGAATGGGTGAGGTACCACATAAAAATAAATAAAATAAAGGCATTGTGTCCATCCACAGTGAAAATACAAGAGTCTGGTTTTCTAAAGCCTTTGGAATTTAGTGTTATGAGCTTCCACCTCTTCTTCCTGGCACCTTGAATTCTACTCATTGAAATGCATAGATCTTTCTACACTTAATCCTTGAGAGATTCCAAAGTTACTTTGGGAATTACCTCATTTACAAATAGGGCTTCATAACAGAAGAGACCTGGAAGCATTTTGTGCGGCCCAGCCCCTGGCTTGCCTGAGCACAGTTGTTGTTCTAAGAGGAGGCACTGAGCCGTCCTCCTCGGAGGGGATCGGTCCTGATGCTTGGCCTGGATTGCTGCCCTCCGCTGCCTCAGGGTTTGATTGAGCAAGAGTGAAGCAAGGAGAGTGGTACTGCAGGCCCTCAGCCCGTGATGCAGGGCACCAGCCTCCAGGGCCGGCACTGGCATTTATTAGCTCTGCAACTGAAGGCAAGGCACATCTTGGCCCAAACTAGAACTTCATAAAAATGAGAAAACTGGCCTGGTTCAGAGTTGCCTAATTCTATTCTGCAGGGATGCTCATCTCTAATCCATTGACTTATCTATTATTTTTAGTATGCAATTTTATGATGTTTTTCCATATTTTTATTGGAGCATGACTGTTGTACATCATGTGGGGATTTGTTGTTACATGGCCGTACAGGCACACAATCTCACAATATAATTTGGCTAACATCATTCCCCGGTATTTCCCCTTTTCTCTCCCCTTGGTCCTTTCCTCCACTGATTTCCCTTTGAGTTTCACGAGATTCTCCTCAACTTCCTTTTCCTATTTCTTCTCTAGCTTCTGCATAGGAGAGAAAGCATATGACCCTTGACCTTCTGAGTTTGGCTTATTTCACTTAACATAATGTTGTCAAGTTCAATCCATTTTCCTGCAAATGATATACTTTTATTTTTTGTTATGGATGACTAAAATTCTGTGGTATATCTATATCACATTTTCTTTAACCATTCATTCATTGATGGATGTCTAGGCTGGTCCTACAGTTTGGCTGTTGTGAATTGTGCTGCTATAAACATGGGTGTGTGCGTGCATCACTGTTGTCCGATGACTTTAATTCTTCAAGATAAATACTGAGGAGTGGCAGAGCTGGGTCCTGTGGTGGTTGCATGCCTAGTCTTTTGAGGAACCTCCATACTAATGTCCATAGCAGTTGTACTCATTTACAATCCCACCAACAGTGTAAAAGTGTTTCTTTTTCTCCCTGGCAGGATGCTTAGTTTGTGAGATGTTACAAAGTGGTTCCTGGTTGCAGATGGGAAGGAGGATTACACCAGCAAATAAAAGTGGCAGCACTAGCTGAGCAATGGCTTCCCAACCTTTGGAGTGCCAGCCTGTGCTTCTAGAAGCAAGGAGAGAGGTGGAGAGCAGGCAGCTGTTTCAAGTGGGCAGACCTAGGCTCTGGTACCAGGCTGCTCAGGGTTTCTGCTCTGGCTGAGCCAGTGACTAGACTTGGTGATTCTCTGTGTTCTCACTGTGTCATGAGGGTGACAGGAACCCAGCCTTCCTTTGAAGGTTACATGAAGGAAAGGACTTAGCACATACTTATTATGCACTTGGTATTTATTGTTGCTGTTGTTACTGCTTGTGAAAAATGGTTTGAGAGACCTTGAACTTGATGTTCTCAAAGCCTCCTCCCCACCCCAGCTTTATATTTTTTAAATAATTTTTTTTAGTTGTGGATAGACACAATACCTTTATTTTATTAATTTATTTTTATGTGGTGCTGAGGGTCGAACTCAGTGCCTCATACGTACTGGGGCAAGCGTTCTACCACTGAGCCATAACCCCAGCCCCAGTTTAGTTTTCTAGGGAACTTCAGAGGAAGTAGTTTTCTAACTGCACACTCCAGTTAGACAATATTTTACTATTTTTCCCCCTGTATATAAGTTTTGCATCTCTAGCTAGATTTTTATGAAAGAAAAAGAAAAAGGCTTACACACTTTCTGTAATTTGCAATTACTTCATTAACAAAGCTGTCTCTAGCCTTTGTTCCAGTAGTGATGTACTACTCATCCACCTGAATAAAATCAATATGCAAATCCCCCAAATACCAAGAAATCTCAATGGAGTCAGGCAAGTGACAGTCAGGAGATCCAGCCTATTTGGGCCAGATCCTTAAACTAAATGTGGGTATAGGAAGCAGAAAGTTGGTCCTAGCATACATCCTGCTAATGGGACAGCTTCCATGCCAATAGAAGTCTGTAGGAGAGAAAAATAAATGGCCTTACAAGGAGAAATAGATTGGGCCATCAAGCCACACTTGCAGCTAGTTTGGGGTTGTTTAACACAATAAATAGTCATCTATTCATTGCATGCCATTTATCCAAGAGTCAGACAGGCCCAACTGTGTTCAGTGAAGAGAAAAATGATGATCTTATTTATTGAGGAAGGGAAAAAAATCAGCCAGAAGTAGTATTCCAAGCAAGACCCTCTGTTAGTGGCTTTCTCTGATGTGGACTCTATGTTTCTTGCCAGAGAGCAGACACGGGGGCCCCCCCAGCATCTCCCAGTAGTTGACTGAGATGAGATTAAAAGGAACCATTAATTCTTGAGTGTGGTGATGTACACCTTTAATCCTAGTGACTGGGGAGGCTGAGGGAGGAGGATCACAAGTTCAAGGCCAGCCTCAGCAACTTAGCAAGGCCCTAAACAAATCAGCGAGACCCTGTCTCAGAGTTAAAAAAAAAAAACTTAAAAAAAATCAACTTAAAAAAAATCAAAAGGACTAGGAATATAGCTCCGTGGTTAAATGCCTCTGGGTTCAATACTTAGTAGCTTAACCCCCCGCCCCGCCCCCCCCAAAAAAAAGTGGTCTTGGAATGTAGCACCTACTCTGTCCTTTCTCCTGAGAGGCAGAAAAAGAAATGTTCTGACAGTTTTTTGG